ATACATTTATATATAGTACAAAAGTGTAATATTTATAGTATAACAGTATAGTATTTTTATCCACTATTATTTCTAGTTATAACAAGCAGCTTCAGAGATGTAAAATATATTTACTGTGCAATATCTGAAGTGCTTTTCATTGGTCTGTGGAAAAAGCAGATATAGTAAACAGTACCATGACATCTTTGGAAAAAAATGTCTCATTTTACTTTTATCTGTTCTGGGATCCGAGTTCTGCTTGCAGGATCACTCAGCTCAGTTTAAACTTTATAATAAAAACTATCCAACCTGGGAGCCTTGTTACATGGATAGGCTGATTGTGGCTTAGTCATTGTGCTGTTTTGCTGTCTTCTTTGAACAATTGCTTATTCAGTCCTATTAAATTCTATTAGTAAATAAGCAAAAATTAGAGGGAGCGGTGGTTCTTTTAAATATATGCAAGTAGACAAATACTTAAGAGCCCAGAAGTGCAAATAATGGTTCTCTCTGCCCTATCTCCTGATTTATTGTGCAGAGATATTTAGTAATAGCTATTCTATAAATCCAAAATAAAGGAAAAATAAAGGACTATTGATTTTCTGAATAACAGATTTATCTTGATTTGTGGCCATATTTAATCCCCATCCGTTTTCACTCTGTAACTCTGAGTATTATAATTTGTGCTTGGCCTCACATTCCCTTTCATTTTAATGTTTCCTTCATCACTGCAAGAATTTTCATACATTTTAATATCCAATACTCTCTGAAGTATTCTGAAAATTCTGAAGTTTTCCAGCAGAGCATACAAATAAATGATCCATATTGTGCACACAATATGGGGTGGAAAGGGAGAGGAAGGAGAAGAAGATTGGTAGAGGAAGGGAGAAAGGGAAGGGGGTGGAGAAATGAAGATGGAAGGAAAGGAAAAAAGAGGAAGAGGCAAGGGCCCTAAAGATGAAAACGATCAGAAATGGGAAGAGGAGGGGGGAGATCAGAAAGGAAAGAGGAAGAAAAATGGAAGCGGGGAGAATGAATTCTGGCAAGATGACAGAAAATGAACAGAAGGCAGGAAGGGATGCAACAGGGAAAAAGTCAAAGGGTGAAAGAAAGGAAAAGATTCTGAAGAGCAGATAAAATTATGTTCTATGGCTGTAACTCTGCCCACTTAATTGGGAATAAAACTTGCTCATTTGCATTTTTGTTCCATGCTTGCCATAAGTCCACAATGAAGTTCACCAATAAAGAAAGCAATTTAAAATTAGTAGCAGGTGGCTTTCAAATCATCCATTATCCCCAGCAGGCAGTAAAAGCAATCAGCTAACAGACAAAATCCCTGGGTATACACTCCAAATGAAGGTTATTGCATAGAGCAGGGCTGTCAAACTCCTGGCCCACAGGCCAAATGTATCACGTGTTGCCCACACCCAGTTTAGCAAAGGGGGAAAAAGTCACAATACACCACATGATGATGCAAATTTGACATCCCTGACATAGAGGCTTAGATGGGCAATCTTAAGCAGCAACTTCCAGAATCGGAGCAACCATTAAAAAGGCCTTTTTTGGTGACCTTATCAAATTTAACTGTAATAAATTATGAACACTGTGGAACAGGATTTTGAAGATCTTGCAGACTTACAGAAGAAGAATCCTGTTTGACCAACAAATAATCTATTCAGCATTCTCAGTCACTGAGTGGTAGATCATGCAACTGAAGTTTTTCACCTACAGCTGTCTCTGGCTACAACCAGATTGTATTCAGGCGTTTGAAAACCAGCATGTATTTATAATGGTTGTAACATTGTGGGATAGTGTGATTGACATTTACAACCTTTCCAAGCTGGCTTCCAACCAGGTCAATAAAGGCTATCAGATTTGCTTAGTGACTGATTCATTTAACTGCAGTAATTCACTTAACAGTGGCAAAAAAGTCATATAATTGGATGCAACTTACTTAACTGTCTTGTTTACCAACAGAAATTCTGTCTCCCAATTGTGGTTGTAAGTTGAGTACCGAAATTCCCAGCTAGTTCTACTTTCCATATCCTCAGACTGGATGTATTTATATTTATTCTGTCTACACACTGCAGAAGATCCGGGTGACTTATAATATCTATACAATTAACAGTTAAAAACACAAAACTGCTGGGCTTTTTTGCATCTTTGTGACTTCATAGCAATTTCTGAAAATTAAAGGTATACACTCAAAATCGTATCATAGACATTGGATCTGCATTAGCTGGACTTGGAGCTTGCACATCAGTGAGTGGTTCGTGATCTATTCCATAATCAGCAGTTAACCACATCCTTGTTATTCCACCTCTCTGTACCAATAATATAGTTGATTTGTCTATGACATCTATGTATATAGATTATGTGCATGTCTATAGATGTTGCTTTGATTGCTGGAAGACTAGGTTAGCAATGAAGAAATCAACAGATTGACAGAAACTGATAGGATGATATCCTGATTCATTTCATTTCTGTTTCGTACGCCATTCAGCCTAGCTCCAACTTTGGCATTAGTCTCCAACCATAAGAATCACATCTTGCTTGCATGTTTTACATCTAATTTCATATTGAACTTAGACACAAAACCTATCAACCTTATCTTTTGCATCAGTGGTTGAAGCATAAACTTAGACTGTCTTATTAAAGGATTGTCTGCAAAGCTAATTGATATCATTCAGCGATTGACTTCATTGGACCCAAGTGCCATCCTTGCTATATGTTTTCTGATTACTGAAAGAAAACATTTTGGGGGTAGTGGTCCTAAGCGGTAAACAGTATGGATGGCTGACTGAAAGTATTCAATTTCAGTTTATGTCAATTTGGTAATGCCTAAAATGTCAATGTATAGTTCATGCATTCCATGTCTCACTATGTTAAGCTTTCCTTTGTTCATGCTTCTTTGTTCCATGTTCCCACTGTAATTCAGTCTTTGTAGCTTCGGATTGTTTTTTTTTTTTTTCCTGCATGACCACATCAGCAACTAGAGATCCAGACTTAATCTAGTCATGGTATACCATTAGTACTTTAAAGCAGGGGTCTCCAACCTTGGCAACTTTAAGCCTGGAGGACTTCAACTCCCAGAATTCCCCAGCCAGCTTTGCTGGCTGGGGAATTCTGGGAGTTGAAGTCCTCCAGGCTTAAAGTTGCCAAGGTTGGAGACCCCTGCTTTAAAAGATAATCTGAGTAGAAATGATGTATTGTATTTGAGGGCCCATCATCCAGCACTATCATCAATCACTTCATATTTTTATACGTATTTTTCTGCCATTGCCTTCTCCTGTGCAGTATGAAATGAACTTTCTCACTGTCATTAAAATGATCATCTGCCTTCAACATTTTTCTGCATCACTGCTGTTCAATATACAGTAGGCACCTTACTTGTTTTAGTCAGGCAGCAGAGATGACTTTCATGACTTTGGGGATTATAGATATACTCTTGGCATACATTCCCAGCTTTCTTTATTCAGCCCTGCAAGAACCACCATCATCATCATGTCTATGGAGATTCTCAGTCATCCAGGTCATGATTGTCCCCAAAAGTGCTTTTTCAAGGGGCAACTGGATTTTTGTTTTTCCTTGAAAATGGTTCGCTTCTCATCCAAGCAGCTTCTCATCCAAACATACTAACTAGAGCATACAAAACATTTGCTTGACCAATACTTGAATACAGCTCATCAGTCTGGAACCTGCATTACGTATCTGATATTAATACAGTTGAAAAAGTCCAGAAATATTTCACAAGAAGAGTTCTCCACTCCTCTACTCATTGCAGAATACCTTATGCCACCAGACTTGAAATTCTAGACCTAGAAAATCTAGAACTATGCCACCTTTGGTCCGATCTTAGTACATAAAATTATACATTGCAATGTCCTACCTGTCAATCAATACTTCAGCTTCAACCATAACAACACTAGAGCACACAATAGATACAAACTCAAGGTTAATCGCACCAAACTTGATTGCAGGAAATACGACTTCAGCAACAAGAGTGGTCAATGTCTGGAATACTCTACCTGACTCTGTGGTTTTTTCCCCAAAACCCAAAAACTTTAACCTTAGACTGTCTACTATTGACCTCACCCCCTTCCTATTTCTTTTTTGTTTCTTTTTTTCTTATATGTATCCATTTCATGTATTCATAACCATGTTTATACTTATACCTGTTATCTTATAATCGCTTGACTAAATAAATAAATAAATAAATAAATAAATGTCCGGCTGCCTCTTGAAAAAGCATCATTGGGACACCACTAGGCAATGTAGCAGGACTCATTACATGTTTGTCAGTCATACATTATTATGAGAATTCCAAACATGGTCGGTTTTTACTAAAGAATAGTTAAATAAAACATGCAAACTTGTTGTGACAGCAAACCGTGTCTACTAAAAAAAGCGAATCGATGGCCTTGCTGGAAAGAAAGCAACCGCAAGTTAATCTCTTTGAAGGCAAGAGGGCTGAGTTAGGTTCACTTTAAAACGGCGGTTCTCTACGTGCTTATTCGACCTGAAGAGATACCAGATCCGGGCTGCAAAAACCTTTAAAATTCCTAGGTGGCAGCAAAATTACAATTTTGTGCTTCCTCCTGCCATCCGGCCTCCGGATTTTGCAGTACGTAGCCATACATAAATTCCACAGGGCCATAAGGCAGAGATGGGGAACAATGACTTTTTAATGACTTGTGGACTTCAACTCCCAGAATTCTTGAGCCAGGCAGAATTCTGGGAGTTGAAGTCCACAAATCATAAAAGGGCCATCGTTCCCTACTCCTGCCATAAGGCATCAATACGCGTCTTGGCTCCGGCGGAATATCGTCAGTTCGAAGAGGCGGGACGTTTCGCGCTCCACCAATCCCTTCTCCTAGTGCGCGCTCGACTCTGACAATCTCGCTCAGAAAAAAAAAAAAACTGCCTACTCGATTCCCCGGATTTCTTTCTTTCTTTTGCGGCACTGTCGTGAAGAATAAAGAGATTTGCCTAGAGCGGAATAACAGAAGCTCCTGCTTGACGGCCGGAGAAAAGAAACGGGGAGGGGGAGGTCTTGAGAAATCGTTTCGTTGTCGCCAGGGGGACTTTCGCCATGAGGCAAAAAAAGAAAGGTTAGAAAGGGGACGGGACAGAAGGGATATTGGTATGAAGCCTTCTAAAACAGATGCCCTCAAGAGGCATGGGATCGGGTGTGGGGCCCGCGCTATCTGGGTATTCTGGGAAATGTAGTCCCACTACAACTGGAACGCCTTAGTCTCGTGTACCCCGATAGGAAGTTGCGACCGAGATGGCTTTTAAATATGATCGGCATCATTAGCACAAAAAGGAATAATTTCATCATGAAAATGCTTGTTGGGTGTTCAGAGACTTGAAGCGTCCAGAGACTGTTCAGCGTCCAGGTTAAAGCATCCCAAGGAGAGAACAGTCTGTTTTCCACCCAAACACATCCACTGGAGGGGAAACCACCACACTCGATCACAATCTGCCCTCCCGTAATTTAAATCTATGATCCCAGATCCTGCCCTCTGGGGCAGTAGAGAATCTGCTGGACCCCTTTCAGGGATTTAACAATGCTGATATATCCTGTTAAGCTCCAGGTTTCTTTACTCAAGACTTATTCCCAGTTCCTTCCATGTCTCTTCATAATTTGTGTGTGTGTGTGTGTGTGTGAGAGAGAGAGAGAGAGAGAGAGAGAGAGACCCTTTCAAGTCAGTGTTGACTTCTGATCTGGACAAGTCCCTGCAGTTTTCTGGGCCAGGATTTTCAAAAGTGATTTGCCATTGCCTGCTTCTTAGGTCTGGGAGAGAGTGACTGGCTCAATGTCATTCAGCTGACTTGGTGCCTAAGGTAGGATTAGAACTCGTGGTCTCCTGATTTCTGCCTACTGCCTTAACCATTACACTAAACTGACTCTCTTCTTACTTGATTTCTGATCGTCTGATCATTCTTGCTGCTTTTCTCTAATTTGTTCCACTTTGCCTTAATCCATACTATGTAGTGTCCCAAGCATAGTATTGATGGTAGGATCTGACTAAAGCAAAACAGAGTGGCTATTTCTGCCATTTGGAAATTACATTTCTGTTATGTTAATGCTGCCTAAAATTGCATTTATATTCTTCTGCAGCCCAATTACATTGTTGGTTTAGTTTATAATCTGTTCCTTGGCCTGGTAGGACAAATATCACCTTTGCTATCTGTGCATTTGATATTTTTTCCACTTATCTTGCCTCTGTTAAACTGAATTTTGTAACTTTTGGTCCACTTCTCTAAAAAAAAAAAAAGGCTTTTTTTCAGTTTCCTTTTGGTCTTCTAGGTATTATCCCATCTCAGATTTCATATGCATTTCCTGCATCATCTCCTCCAAGCCATTATTGAAAGTATTGAAAAGTATAAGGTCAAAGTTTGAACCCCATAGTACCCAATGTCAGTTCAGTTTGATAAAACTTGGTAAATGCTTAATGAGTATGATTTTCCAATAAGCTAGGCATTTTCTTAATTGCCATATCCTCCAGTCCATGACTATTCTGTGTGAATAGTTCCTTAGAAAAGAATAAACGTTTATGGAAAAATATAGTTCCTCCAAGAACTCTTTCTCTATTACCTTCCTTCTTGGAGCCTTCAAACATCCTTGAGGAAAGTTAACTAAGGGAGACCTAAAGTTTTCACTTCATCCTCTGCAGTATGTACTAGTTATCTTGCCTATTACCTGAAGATAGCATTTCCTCAACTCACACATCATCTACTGCAGGGCAGGGCAGATGCCACATTGATTAGTACTAAAGACACTTGTGTTCTGTGACTCTGGTGAATAGGCTTTGAGAGAAGAGAAAGGCTATTCTGTCAGAGAGAGCACAAGTCAGTTTACAGTTGTATGTGAGAAATCACTTTTGCACAGGCACTATCATAACCTTTTACTTCTATTTTAGGAGATTTCAGCCGAGCAGAACTTATGATGATGACTATAGCTGATGTCATCAAACAACTCATTGATGCCCATGATGAGGGCAAAGATGTGAACTTAAACAAGTGAGTTATCTTCTATTTCTTCTTTGCTCTTCAACATTTTACAGTATCTGTCTTCCTCACTTTTTATGGGAAAGGCAATGCGCTGTAAAAGATTTGTATCAGAGGTTGTAGAGAGCAAACAACACTAGGTTGGAGTGAATACTAGTGTATCAGATTTTAGTAAATAGCAAAAGATAATTGGAGATACGCTGTTCTACAGACCTCTATGCCACGAGTAGCTCTTTAATTGACCACCAACACCTTCAGTTGCACCCAAAAATCCATTGACAACCAAATCAGCTTGTGGTGTACCAGTTGTTTAGGCATATAGTAAGGTATGCACATCAGTACTTGTGCCACTGCATTCTAGACTACAGTTTATGAGTTAACATCACAGACAGCCCTCACGTACAGAGCAATGCCACCCCATCCAGAATGAAAAATAGACTTTCAGGTCTAGGCAATCCCCAAATCCTTAGCCACTCAGTCTTGCTAGATTGAGCTTAAGTGTATTCCTGTCTATCCAGAATCTAAGATGCTGAGATGGAAGCTTAAGAGTATCATTTGGCTAGCCCAAAGATTAAATAAGTGCAAATAACTGATATCTAACTCCTTGCCAATAGCCTCACCCAGTGGCTTTATGTAGATATTGAATAAGATCGGAGAGAGAATAAAATCATAAGACATCATCCAAAGGCAAGAATATAGGGCTGGAGCTCTTCCCTCCTATTAGTACCACCTTTTTTGTACCTGTTGCAGTAACTCCAATATAATTGTAATGAAGAAAGACATATATAATAGAAGCAAACTGAATCTTTCTGATTATTGACCATAACATTAATAATTTCTTGCCAAGGCAAGTTTAAATATTGATGTGAACTGACATGAATTGAAATCCAAATCATCTGGAGAGCATCAGGTTGCCTCTCTCTATTATATAGCCTCTAAGTTGCATGGCTTTCAATTTTAGGATTAAAACAAGGACGGCTGCCAAGTATGGCCTTTCAGCACAGCCACGCCTGGTTGACATTATTGCTGCTGTTCCCCCTCAGTACCGCAAAGTGCTGGTTCCTAAGTTGAAAGCAAAACCCATTCGAACTGCTAGTGGGGTAAGTGTTTATTTGTTTGTTTTTCATGTACAAGGTCCCAGAGTCAATGATATGGATTTCCACTTGAAAAAGATCAGTACTGTACCTGAGATCCTGGAATCTATTGCCAACCTGAATAGACCAAAGGAAAAGAAATTTTAACATTGCAAAATTTGTTTGTGCTTTCTTAAAATCTGATATCCACCCAGTTGTGCACAAACATAAAAATAAAATACATACTTAGAATTAAAGTATACAATGACTTTGAACAGTTGCTGAGCACATGAAATTGCTAAGAATGAAAACCAAATTTATTTTGTGTTGCTCTAAACAACTTTAAGAGGAAGTAATTTCATTGTTGCAATGAAGAACATTTGTTACTGTGTGACAAAAAACCTCCCAGGAAATTCTGAGTTTGCCATCCCTAAAGTATTGAAGCAGATGGACTCTGTCCTGTACTAAGGCAATTTCTACTTTCTTCTGTAGTAATATTATGTTTCCCTAGATTTATATTTTTCCTAGGTAAATTGTTGATATTTTCTAATTAGTTTAACAGTTACTGTCAAATCATCAGACATGCATAGGGCTATGCCTGTTTTTTTTTTTAATTCAAATCCTTTTGAATTCAAAGCACCTATCTCAAAACGCCCCTCCTTAAATCATCAATTGCAAAAGTTGATTACAAAAAAATCAGATATTTAATAACTTCTCTGCAACACTCCTTTCTTTCAGATTGCTGTTGTGGCAGTAATGTGCAAACCACACAGATGTCCACATATTAATTTCACAGGAAATATATGTGTGTGAGTACCTAATAAGATGTCAGAATATCTTAAATACTTAGCCAAAATATAGATTTTCTTGTTTGCTTGTTTTTTTAAAGTTTTTTTTGTTTAGAATCTTTTGCACTGGAATAAAAAATAAATATGAAGGAATGCATTAAAGTATTCCGCTTCATTGAAAAATAAATTCCTAATAATTGTAAGCATCCTTTTTAAAAATAACAGAGAGGCTGTGTTCTTTCTTTAGACTCATCTAAAATGAGGCTTGTGTGCGTATGTTATTTTTCTATAATTATACCTGTTCTTGAAGACATAGGTGCACCACTTTTTTCAGGCAAATGGCTGAACTTGGCATTTGATAGTGTAACGAGTATTCCAAAATCAAAGATGTAGCCTAAATGTAACATTTTCATGTCAATTTACAAACTTGAAAGGACTCCAGCCATTTTTTAGGAAATAAAAATACTGGGTAACTGCAATTCAGTGCTTTTTTTTTTTTTTTTTTTGTAAATGTGCTCCGGTAATGGATTTTTTGCAAGAAGTTTTTTTTTAAGTAATGTGGGCCTCAGACTTCAACCATGATTTGTGGAGTAGGGAACAATTTACACACAGGTTTGGTTTGCAAATTATATTTAACAATGGCTTTTCTAATAACAAACTAAGGTTTATAATTACAATGACTGTTGCAAATAACACACTGAACCAGTACCAAAGAAACTACATTATGCTGTAGCATATTACAGCCATGGATTTTTCTAGCAACACTCATTATCAACTTTGCCTTTCAGAAAATAATGTTGGGACTGTTTTTTCTAGTATATCTGAGGTTCCAAACCACTCTTTGAACTGGAAGGTCTCTGATTCACTTCTTTCTTCTGTCTTGGAATTGGTCAGTAACCTACTATAAATTGAACTCCTTTCCTGGCACTGCATCATAGGGGCTGGATCTATTTAAGCCAATAGCCTGCTTCCTACAAGGGTCATTTGAAAGTTCATTGAAACAGTTCTTTTGCCTTCAAACATCTGTTATTCATTTAAATGTACACAGTTTAAGGGTTGCCAACCCAAGCTTTTAATTATAAGCTTAACCTCTTGCTATGATTTCATTTTCTTCTTGAAAATACAGATACTGTCCTGGAGGGCCTGATTCAGACTTTGAATATTCAACACAATCTTACACTGGATATGAGGTACTGCTCTCATGGACTTGTTGGTCCTATTTCAGGAAAAAACAACTTTACTATAAACCAGAATATCAAAAATATTGCGGGGGGAGGGGGCAGTTTATTTTACATTCATCAAATAGTGATGGCTTTGGATTTTCTTTCTTTCAATATTTCACAACTGGACTTCTATCTGGTAATTATTTGTCTCAAGTGTGAGATGGTAATTCTTGAGATAATATTTTAGAAATTAAGTTAGAAATGAAGAGATGGTTAGGGGTACAGGTAAGTATACCTTCTACATTGTTGTACTGATACTGTTAGATTCATGTAACAGCTTCCTCAACCCAGTGTTCTACTGGAGTATGTTGGATTTCAGCTCCCTTAATTCTCATCTAGAATGGACAATGCATATGGAGGACCTAAGTTCAAGAAAATACTTGAAGAATTACATTTGTGAAGTAATATATTAATATATTAAGACTTTTCCAAATTATGCTTCCAAAAGTATTCCATTACATCTCCCATTGTCTTCAGTTAACATAGCCACTAAGAGTGGTCTCTGTTTTCAAAAAGACACTTAGCTTTTTATTAAATTGATAGCTGACTGAATCTGGCTATTTGCTAAAGTCTGAATATGAACTGGAAGCAACTTTTAAAAAATTATATTATATTGAGTTAGATACCTTTTTCCCTAACTCCTTAATCTATTCATCTAGTATATCCATACCACATACTTAGGATTGCTTTGAAAATGGAGATTGTACAAAATTATTTTACAATCACTCCATTACACAGATGGAGACTTATTTATGAAATCCCATTTGGACAGCATATGTGAAATTGATTTGCACATATCATATTAAAATTTATTCAGCTCTTAGAGCTAAACCCAAATCAGATACATACAACGCATACTACCTTCCAAAGTCAAGGATGAGGTTTCTAGAACTTTTCTGGACATTGCTACTTAAGTATGTGATAGAATTCATTATTAAATAGAAGAATGGTCATCTTGTTTGCAGCATGTAATTTACATTTACATTACATAACTTTTAGTTTATATACTGAACCTGTTCACTTTTTTAATATGCTGAACACCATTTTTGACCAAGATTGAGTAATCCTCAGACCACTAAAAGCTATATCCTGATCTAGCAAAAATAAAATTTGACAGTATAGTACAGTTAGGAATTTGGATTTGATGTATTATTTTTCATCAAATCAGTATCAACTCTTAACAAACACATAGATTTTCTCAATCTGTCCATAATGTAAGAGTTCAAGTCTTCACGGAATACCATTCACCATTGTGACTGAGTCCATCCAACTTGCTAATGGTGGTTCTCTTTTTTTCCCCTTCCACCTGTCCCATCATTAGAATCTTCTACATACCACTAAGTTTTTACATAATTGATGTGAAGTATTATAAGATAATTTGATCTCTATCATTTGTCCCTGGTGCGAGAGGAGTTTGAATTATAGACGCTTTAAAACAATCTTGCTAGTTGTTTCCTAAGGAATATTGTTTTGTTTTCTTGCAGCCAACATCTATGAGAGCCATACGTGCCAGATATGATCCTTATCTCCAGACCAGACACCGAGTTGAACAAGTAAGGATTCGTTATGGTGGAAGAATGTGATGATGGGATAAAAATTAAGCAATTTAGTTCTTTGTAGCTAAATGCAAAGCTTAGTCTTCAACTATGTCCATGATCTTAGGTAGTAAAACCAACTTAGCATTCATGGAGATTAACCGATTCACAAAAGATTCTTTCACGTAGGAAAAGCATCAGTAAAAATGAAAACTGAATCAAAAGGAAAATATGCTGAATGCCAAAGGGTTACAGTATGGCAAAGCTGGATCTGAAGCCCTGCACCCAAAGCATCTAGTAAACTTTTCCTTTCTCCCCACCTTTCCCTTAGTTATCTTTAACTGTCAAATTACATTCAAACAAATTGTTTTGAAACAGACCCTGGCTTGGCAGGCTGGATGATAACACATTCCATTGCATGAACTTGGAACTGCCAGCGGCTCTCACGTGGCACAAACAGTAGTTTCAATTCCCCTTTATCCCAGCCTCCCTCCTACCTCCCCTCAGCTTCCTCCCCCCCATTGCCTATGGCATACTGGCATTGGTAAAGCATGGCTGTAGCAGGATGGCAGTCCTGAACAATTACTCTTAGCTGCTGCAGCAAATCTAAAGTTTATCTAAAGATCAGGACTAGATTAAAAACTTCCACTAAACTCTGAACCTTTTTCATTGAAAAAATTACAATCTCTTCAAGAGGGAAAGGATCCCACTAATATGACCTATACTGCTTGGACTTCATAAATTAACATCCACTTCTTGAATGGTGACCTGCAGAGCTCTTATGCCAGAAGTTAAGCATTCTCCACCATGTTATTTCATTCAAAAAGTTGTCTTACACTGAGTTAGACCACTTATTTTTTTTTAGCCAAAGGTTATTTATATAACCTCCCAACAAATCTCTTACAGGGTGAAAAAAGTAGTCTTCCTCTACAAGTTTGCAAATACTATTCAAAATAAATAAATGAATAAATATAATTTTTTATTAAAATGTTGGTGTGGAGAAAGCAAGAGTACTCTAAATATTCTACCCTATCTGTCCATACTCCTAGAATATCCTAGAACAGTAATGGCCAAAGGTTAAAGAGAGGCATAACATAATATGTGGTAGATTTTGGCATGGTTCAAAAGACTTGATCTTATTTTTACAGCTGAAGCAGCTGGGCCACAGCATTGACAAAGTGGAATTCATTGTGATGGGTGGAACATTCATGGCTCTTCCAGAAGAATACAGAGATTACTTTATCCGTAATTTGCATGATGCCTTATCAGGCCATACGTCTAACAATGTAGCAGAAGCAGTCAAGTAAGTATCTTATGCAGCAGAAACTTTGGTGCATTGGTTAGTTTTCTATGTTAGTTTGCTTATTGTACCTGAGAGTTATATCATATGGATGTTCACAGTGAAAATTACCCTGATGTCTTTAAATTTTTCTGGTGAGGTTTAAGATATTTTGAAAAAATATTGTAAAAATCATTAAGACCAACAGTGATAACAATGACTGACTATGGAAGCTGCTGTACTATTAACTAAAAAGGGATCAAAAGCTTGTACAGGAAGTTTGTTCCTGCTGACTAATTCCATTTTGTTGTCTGTACCATTGGTTATTCAAGAGAAAGAACGAGAACCAAGGCAAAAGTTAAGGGAAATGAGATATTTATCAGCAGATAAAAATTGATGAATAATTAGATAAGGATAGCCTCTATCCAAGAAATGTTAGATATATGTCCTTTATGATAATATAACAAAACTATGGAACTTGCTACCAGCATTGACCTCAACAGTTAAAAAGTAACCGATGTATTACTCGTTTTAAATAAGACCAAAGGAAAATTAAATTAATTAAAGGCCATCATGAATGATTTTTATCTTGGGTAAATTGGTAGAAAGCAGCATTAGCTTTAGTAACTATTATAACATTTGTTGAATATGGATCAATATGTTATATAGAGGTAAAGCAAACCAGCTGTCTAGAATTGCTTTTGATTACATCCTTCATCAAGTACTTCTGAATAAATGTAACCACCTTAGAATATATCGGTAGGTAACTTCATGGAATAATAATAATAAGCAGCAAAGTGTAGACTAAATAGATAAATTTTATTAATTTCTGTAGCTGAGGAACATTTTAAAAAAAGAACAGTTGGATTTTGAAATAGTTGGGTAAGTGATTTGGAGTTGATGGTGAATAGTGGTGCAGTCCAGTTTCTTAATGATACCTAATTAAAATATAAAACATTAGGAAATTCTGAAAAATCCCTGGAAAGTCTAAGCATTCTAATCTTTCATATAATTTCATATAATGGGGACAGACATAAGACATCTCTCCTCTTATCCTTGAACAGATAATAAGAGGTTCATGGATGTTAGTAAGATTCACAAGATAAGAGAAATTTAGGTCTCTGCCTTTGAAGTCAAAAATTAACATTGTCATATCCTAAAATTCATAAAGTTTTGTGAAACATGACTATAAAACCATGTACGGTAGATACAATGTTCATTCTAGAATCTTAAAAATTTATTTCCTCTGGAGGGCAGCAGATACTTAAAAGTTTATTAGGAAAAAAATATTCACTTGATTTCCCAGAGTTGCTCTTCAGGTGTGACTTGATAGTCATAAGTTAAATAGAAAAAATATTATACGGTAGGTGGGATCCGACTGGTTTAACTACCGGTTCGGTGATTTTATGTTTTGCTGCATGCGCGTGTATATCGTCAGCTAGCTGCCTGGACAGCTGAGCAGCGCTGCGCGTGAGTGCACAGCAATTGAACAAGCTCTTTTTTCCTGCTTTTTCAACCGCAGCTGTGTCGCACAAAGCAGCTGTGGTTGAAAGAGCAGGAAATAAAGGTCAGGTAAGAGCCCGGGCGGGCAGGTGGGCCAAAACAGCAGCAGACATAGAACCGGTTCTATGTATGTTCTCTGTCTGCTGCTCTTCAGAGCAGAGTTCTACAGAGGTGGACAGAACCGGTAGAATCCCACCCCTGAATCTATAACTTTAGCTCTTTCTCAGACTATTGAGCTGGCATATTGCCAACAGGGGTTCATTAATCTTTCTTGAAGGCACTTGCTTGAAACACTCAAATTGACAGTTTGCTTGTGCATGTATTCAGACAGCTATATAGAGAAGATCTATAGATGTGTGGTGCACCTATTGAATGTAGTATGTTTCCACAATCAACTCTGGCATGTCCAAGTAGGAGTACGAAGGTCAACAAAGTCACTGCTTATTAACATAGACTAGGTTTCTCCAGTCTAGTGCATCTGGATTTGTTGGATCACATCTTCCATAATCCCTACACAATCTAGGTTGGCATAACCATATATGATAACAATACCTCAATCAAGGAACTACTAACTCAGACAAACAAGCTAACAGTAAACAGCAGCCCCATCGAGAAACCACTAAGACCACTCCCACCAACACTGACAGGGCAAGCCACTGAGTATATAAAATGAGAGCAAACCCCACTCCCTTTTAGCACTGATGATAGTTCCTAGTTTGGTAATGAAATGTGTGTGTGTAAGAAAACAACCAAGCTCAGAGGGCACCAAGGACCACACAATTCAACCCTGAGCTACAAATATTCTCTTCTATTGATAATAACAAGCTAGCTGGAATAGTCTGTTTTCTACACAGTATTCCTGCATTTCAATAATCAAATGATTGTTTTATGTTATTTTACGTTGTTTTGTGGTTGATTTTCTTATATTTTAAAATCCTCTTTTGTAGAGGTGTGTGTGCATATGTATACATAAGAAAACCATTAGTCAGAAACATCGTTGTCAGTTTATAGCTGAAACCCCAATGGAGGAAAGTCAGTAGGTCGTGATGAAAATAGATGAATGTTTTAATCATGATGTCCTCTTATAATGCAAGATATTAAGATGTATTGGCAAGCTATAATCTGGGAGGGGTGTTGTTCTGATTTATTATAGAATGTGAATGTACCTAATTACATATTATTCAACATACCATGGTTAAACAAAGTTAGTCCAAAGTTCTAAAGCAATCATTATTACTTGAATTGGATAAGTCCTATATAGCTTGATCCCTTAGGGACATGGTAGTACATTTTCAGACTAAGGTTTCTCATTTCGTTGAAGCATAAGATTTGTGAGCTCACTTCATCAGATGCAATGGAATGGCTAGATTGATGTCAGATTTAAATTGGAATGAGTCAGAGAGGAATTGCTGATCAATTGGGTGAAAAATTGCTTGTGTATTATCACCCTTTCATTATATTGCATCCAATGAAGAGAGTCATAGCTTTCAAAAGCTTATACCTCTTAATAAAATTCGTTAATCTGAAAGATGCTACTAGCCTTCTTCTGATATTGGGCTACCATAGACTAACACAGCTCTCTTCCTACAATATCTGATCCCTTCATTGATCAAAATATCCTAGCAGTACAAAGAGATTGTGAAGTTGATAACTTCCAAAAGGAAGTCCCACAGCTTTTCTCAACGTGGCTCCAAAAATGTACTATTTTACTTTAAATATCATGTACTGTATACAGTATTGATTGCCAATATAGTATAGTTGTTAAGGCATTGGAAATAGTTCAGAGGTCAGTGATGACTTTAGGCTAGTCATGTTCTCTCAGACCCAACCTATCACACTGAATTGTTGCAAAGGTTAAATTTGGAAAGACTTTCCCATATATACCTGTGCTGTGTTTTCATGTTCAAAGAACTATTCTGTAGGACAGAGTTGAGGAAACATTTTGTTTAAATGTCTTTAATCATTAATTTACTTTATAGGGCTAACTGATTGAAAAGTAATTTAAAATGCTTTCAGAATGCTTTAAAAATGCCACTTGGGCCCAATACAACAATAAGGAAGATACATATATTTTCTGGAGAAACTTCAAGCCTACTTTAGATGCAGGGATAGTGAGTTTTTTCTGGAGCAGGCAGTGTCTGTTTAGACCAGAGGTCTCATTCTCGTGGCCCGCAGGCCAATTGCGGCCCGCAGGACGATATCCTGTGGCCCCCACCGTGATATGAAAGTATAGTATTAGTGTATAATATAAATATAAAGTATAATATAAAGTATAATATTATGCGGCCCAGCCTCACCCAGCCTCTGCCTCCAGCGGCCCCCAGGTAAATTGTGTTTGAGACCCCTGGTTTAGACAAACCTATGACATGTGTCAAAGACGATGTGCTACAATATTTTGGGTGACACCAACATTCACCAACACCCAACAACTAATTCTTGAAAGAATGCCCTCTTCTCGTATGATGTTTGGAGGCTGCAAGGGAATGGGATATGCTTTCACATGGACACTGGAGCCTCAAAAATTGTACAAGAATTGTTCATGTGAGAATGGGATGTGTTCTGGGGCAGCCTCTGAAAATTGCAGAACAGGGTGTACTCTTGCGTGGTTTTTGGAGGCTGTGGAGGCCATTAAAAAAAAAAAGTCTTTGAAGTCACTTCAAGGACAAAGTCCTTGCGCAACCCAGAGCAGTTTTAGGTAGGCCAAAGGGACCTGTCAACAGAAAAATAACACCACCCGGACTTCCGGTTTGAGCTTCTTCGGCGACACACCGAAACCGCAACTCTGCGCGGTTTTGATCCGTGCTCACCGCTGGAGCGCCCCAAGCCAGCTGGTTTCAGGGCTAAGCCACCCCATAGAGGCGGTGAAGAGGGGGGAGACTGCCTGCAGGGTTGAAGATAGCTGCATCTCTCCTCCTCAGCTGGCCATTACTCCCTTTCCCGAAGGCGGTTGCAGCAGTGGTCAGAAATAGCCACCGCAAAGGAGAACTTGACCGGAAAAGAATGTGCAGGAGGAAGGTAAGAAGAGAAAGTTTTGGTTGACCGGGTCAAACAGCAAAAAGCAATAAATAAGGTACCCAGGAATTTAAACAAAAAAAAAAAAATAACACTGTTCCCAAAGAAGATTTTCAAGCAGCGAAGGAGAGAGAAAAGGGAAAGAATTTGGGTTTTTTTTCTCTCCTCTTCCTTTCCCTATACTGACAGCTAAGAGACTTAAGCAAGAAATTGAAAAAAAAATCCACTTTGACATCAATAGGCATTTAAGCTGAAAATAAAATGTCAAAGGGATAATAAAGATTTCTGGATATTTAAAAGCTTTTGAAAGCAGGAAAGGAGAGAAAAAGAATAAAAGGGCAGGATCTGGAAGGGAGGAGACTACCTGGAATTAAAAAGAACTTACAGTAAAATCTCAACAAGACTTCTAAAAGATACATTTTAACTGAAACATGGCAACAAAATAGTAAAACCTCAGGAAGAGAAAGTGAAAAAAGAAGTAAGAAGAAACAGCTCGGGAATATTTGGAT